AATTTTTAATTTTTGGATTTTTCGATTTTTCAAAATTTCGGTTCGAATAAATTTGTTCTTTTAGTTAAAAAAAATCGAAAAATGACAAATCGCGAAAAGGAAAAATTTTAACTTGAGAACTTGAAAAATTAAAAACCAAAAAATTCCAAAATTATAAAGTTAAAATTTGAAAAATCAAAAGATTGGAATTAAAAACTGCAAAATTGTCAAACAAATTATCAAATGAAATATTCAAAAGTTGAAAAATCTCAAAACTAAAAAAGAAAAATGAAAACTGGAATTTGGAATTCGATTTTATAAGATTTGTTTTTTTTTTTTCAATTTTTCGATATTTCAGTTTTTGATTTTCAGATTAAACAGTTATATGATTTTCCGATTTCTCATTTATCCAATTTCTCAATTTGTCATTTTTTGATTTTTAAGTTTTTTTTATTTTTAGCAAGTACCAGCCCCACCCACCCAGCCTTTATTTTCTTAGAAGAATAAGTCATCTGTCAAAATCAGTCTCATCTTGACAAATACTACCCCGCCCACCCACCCTTTATTTTCTTAGAAGAGTGGGTCATCTGCCAAAATCAATCTTATCTTGACAAGTACTAGCCCCGCCCACCCACCCTTATTTTTTAGAGGATATGTCATTTGCAAAAATCAGTCTCATACTTGCTAAGATAAAATTGATTTTGGCAGATGACCTACTCTTCTAAGAAAATAAAGGATGGGTGGTTAGTACCTTTTCTTAGAAGAGTAGGCCATTTGTCAAAATAAGTCTTATTTTGGCAAATACTAGCCTGGCCCGCCCGCCTTTTATTTTCTTAGAGGGTAGGTTATTTGGCAAGTACTACCATAGTGTAAAATTTCATTTTTGAAAAAGTTGTCTAAAAATTCTGAAAAAAATCAGAAATATATATATATCCCGACGTGCTGATTCCAAAAATATAGCGTACTTATGGTCACGGAGTAATATTTTTTTCGAATGTATCTATTATCCATTGTTGGTTAAGAATATTTACTTTATTTCTGTTTAATAAAATTAAGGTTTATTTCCTGAAATTTATTTTCAGTAGTGTATGAAGTTGTTATTCAGTTCCCTTTCAGCTTTTTGGGAAATTCGCTGTTTCGAACAAATCGCTAATCCGAACACCTTTCCCCAATTCATTCGGATTATCGAGGTTATACTGTAGTTTGAAAGAATCTGGGGGACCTCTTTTGTGTCTCGTTTTCGAAATAATTTGAAAGAATCTCGAGCGCACCTTTTGTTTTGTTTTTGAAGTAGTTTGAAAGAATCTCGGGGGCCATTTGTGTTTTGTTTTTGAAGTAGTTTGAAAGAATTTGGGGAACCTCTTGTATTGGTTTTTTAAGTATAATTTGAAAGAATCTTGGGCACTTCTTGTGTCTGGTTTTTGAATAGTTTGAAAGAATCTCGGGGACCTCTTGTATCTGGTTTTGGAAGTAGTTTGAAAGAATCTCAGGGGCTCCTTGTATTTTGTTTTTAAAGTAGTTTGAACGAGAATCTTGGGGACTTCTTGTCCTGGTTTTTTGAAGTATCGTTTAAAATAATCTCGGGGGCTCCTTGTGTTTTGTTTTTGAAGTATTTTGAAAGAATCTTGGACCTCTGACACCGGTTTTTGAAGTATCGTTTGAAAGATTCTCGGGGAATCCTTATGTCTGGTTTTTGAAGTAGTTTGAAAGAATCTCGGGGGCCCCCTTTATTTTATTTTTGAAGTAGTTTGAGAGAATCTTGGGGACCTCTTTTGTGTCCCGTTTTTGAAGTAGTTTGAAAGAATCTCGGGGGCCCCTTGTGTTTTGTTTTCGAAATAGTTTGAAAGAATCTGAGGGACCTTTTGTACTCGTTTTTGAAGTATAGTTTGAAAGAATCTCGGGCACTTCTTGTGTCTGGTTTTTGAAGTATACTTTGAAAGAATCTCGGGAACCATTTTTGTGTCTGGTTTTTGAAGTAGTTTGAAAGAATGTTGGGGACCTCTTGCACTGGTTTTTGAAGTATAGATTGAAAGAATCTCGAGGACCTCTTTTGTGTCTAACGTTTGAAGTAGTTTGAAAGATCTTTCTGTGTATTGTTTATGAAGAAGTAGTTTGAAAGAATCTCGGGGACCCCTATGGGTTTTGTTTTTGAAGTATGTAGTTTGAAAGAATCTCGGGGGCCCCTTGTATTTTGTTTTCGAAATGGTTTGAAAGAATCTGGGGGACCTTTTGTACTGGTTTTTGAAGTATCGTTTTGAAGAATCTCGGGGACTTCTTGTGTCGGGTTTTTGAATAATTTGAAAGAATCTCGCGGACCTCTTTTGTGCGTGGTTCTTGAAGTAGTTTGAAAGAACGTTGAGGACCTCTTGCACTGGTTTTTGAAGTAGAGATTGAAAGAATCTCGGGGACTTCTTGCGTCTGTTTTTTTAATAGTTTGAAAGAATCTCGGGAACCTCTTTTGTGTCTAACGTTTGAAGTAGTTTGAAAGATCTTGGGGCCCCCTTGTACTGGTTTTTGAAGTATCGTTTTAAAGAATCTCGAGGACTTCTTGTGTCGGGTTTTTGAATAATTTGAAAGAATTTCGCGGACCTCTTTTGTGCGTGGTTCTTGAAGTAGTTTGAAAGAATGTTGGGGACTTCCTGTGTCTGGTTTTGAAGTAGTTTGAAAGTACATATCTCGGAGACCCCTTTTGTTTTGTTTTTGAAGTAGTTTAAAAGAATCTCGGCGGCCTCTTTTGGGTCCGGTTTTTGAAGTAGTTTGAAAGAATCTCGGGGACCTCTTATGTCTGGTTTTTGAAGTATACTTTGAAAGAATCTCGGGAACCATTTTTGTCTCTGGTTTTTGAAGTCGTTTGAAAGAATCTCGGGAGTTCCCTGTGTTTTGTTTTTCACGTAGTTTGAAAGAATCTTGGGGTCCTCTTGTACTGGTTTTTGAAGTATCGTTTGAAAGAATCTCGGGGACTTCTTGTGTTTGGTTTTTTAATAGTTTGAAAGAATCTCACTGACCTCTTTTGTGTCTAACGTTTGAAGTAGTTTGAAATATCTTGGGGGCCTATTGTGCTGGTTTTTGAAGTATCGTTTTAAGGAATCTCAAGGACTTCTTGTGTCGGGTTTTTGAATAGTTTGAAAGAACCTCGTGAACTTCTTTTGTGCGTGGTTCTTGAAGTAGTTTGAAAGAATGTTGGAGACCTCTTGCACTGGTTTTTGAAGTACAGTTTGAAAGAATCTTGGGGGGACCTTTTGCACTGGTTTTTGAAGTATAAATTGAAAGAATCTCGGGGACTTCTTGTGTATGGTTTTTGAAGTAGTTTGAAAGAATCTCGGAAACTTCTTTTGTGTCTAATGTTTGAAGTAGTTTGAAAGATCTTGGGGGCTCCTTGTGTTTTGTTTTTGAAGCAGGTTGAAAAAATCACGGGGTCCCCTTTTGTTTGGTTTTGAAGTAGTTTGAAAGAATTTCGGGGACTATTCTTGTGTCTGGTTTTTGAAGTAGTCTTGAAAGAATCTCGGGAACCATTTTTCTGTCTGGTTTTTGAAGTAGTTTGAAAGAATCTCGGGAGTTCCCTGTGTTTTGTTTTTCACGTAGTTTGAAAGAGTCTTGTGGTCCTCTTCTACCGGTTTTTGAAGTATCGTTTGAAAGAATCTCGGGGACTTCTTGTGTCTGGTTTTGGAAGTAGTTTGAAAGAATCTCGGGAAACTCTTTTGTCTCTAATGTTTTCAGTAGTTTGAAAGATCTTGGGGGCTCCTTGTGTTTTGTTCTTAAAGTAGTTTGAAACAATCTTGGGGCCCTCTTGTACTGGTTTTTGAAGTATAGATTGAAAGAATCTCGGGCACTTCTTGTGTCTGGTTTTTGAAGTATACTTTGAAAGAATATCGGGAACCATTTTTGTGTCTGGTTTTTGAAGTAGTTTGAAAGAATCTCGGGAGTTCCCTGTGTTTTGTTTTTCACGTAGTTTGAAAGAATCTTGGTGTCCTCTTGTACTGGTTTTTGAAGTATCGTTTGAAAGAATCTCGGGGACTTTTTGTGTCTGGTTTTTTAATAGTCTGAAAGAATCTCGCGGACCTCTTTTGTGCCTGGTTCTTGAAGTAGTTTGAAAGAGTGTTGGGGACCTCTTGCACTGGTTTTTGAAGTATAGTTTGAAAGAATCTCGAGAGCTTCTTGTGTCGGGTTTTTGAATATTTTGAAAGAATCTCACGGACTTCCTTTGTGCGTGGTTCTTGAAGTAGTTTGAAAGAATGTTGGGGAACTCTCTTGCACTGATTTTTGAAGTGTAGTTTGAAAGAATCTAGGGGACCTCTTGTGTCTGGTTTTTGAAATATTTTGAAAGAATCTCGGGAACCATTTTTGTGTCTGGTTTTTGAAGTAGTTTGAAAGAATCTTGGGGACCTCTTGTACTGGTTTTTGAATTATAAATTGAAAGAATCTCGGGGACTTCTTGTGTCTGGTTTTTGAAGTAGTTTGAAAGAATGTCGGGGAACACTTTTGCCTGACATTTGAAGATGTTTGAAAAAAAACTCGGACCCTTTTACTTTATTTTCGAAGTAATCCGACAAAATTTTGGAGATCCGTCTTATTTATGAATTATTTAATTAAAAAGAATCTCGAGGATTCCAGGTATTTAGTACTTTTTGACGTAATTTAAAAGAATTTCATTTGAAATATTGCCGCAAATTAAAAACAGCTAAATAAAACACATATTTATGGGAAAACTTTCCCAGGAATTTATTATACTGTAGCGAGAAATCTTGGCATAAAATCCCAAAAACACAATTGCCAGAGACAGATTCGAGTTTTATTGCGCATGCTACGATGCCTCAATTTCGGCGGCTAAAGGTTAAATGTCTAACTGTTGGGTTTGACCCCAGCCATCCATCATTAGGAAAAAGAGAACTCAATTGTTTTGATTTTACTTTTTTAATAATTGGCGGTAGGTAACGGCAAACGTTTTGCGAAAGTCGTAAAATACAAGTTTATAGACGTGTTTTACGACGTTATCCGATACATCACGAAAAATTAAACCGTGCTTTAGTTGTTAATAGATTTATTTACATGTTATAGTTACCTATGTAAAAAGCGCATTATGTTATATAAAAAAATATATTTAAATAATTTGAATTCAATTAAAACTCCATTAAGCGGTCAGTGTCTGTTAAAACTTCTTGACTGTGTTCAGACTGTTCTGGTACCGTGTGGTTGCTACCAATCAAACAACCCTTAATCTGGCACCCAGATTCTATAGTTGCACCATCTGAAACTATGCAGTTTTCCAGCGCCACCCTAAAATCATTGTTTTTTTAACAAATCATAATACGGACCCACTGCACCCACTTTTCCTTAATTGTAACATTATTCATAACAATGCTATTAAAAACGCGAGAAAAACTATGCACTTCTGTGTTGCTCCCAATCACAGAATTTTTAAAGGAAGTCTTTTCATTCAACTTGGCTCCTTCCCAAATAACGCATTTATCATCAACTTGAGATGACTTATTTTCAATTTTGGGGTGTTTCAACGCTAGACTTAAGCCATTAGTGATTTTATCCCATTTCTCGTTGACCTACAAAAAAACAATTTAGTAAAATTGTAACACACATTACTCCTTACCTTATTATTAACAGTCCAATAACTTGGAAGAGTGTTCACTCTAACCCCATAACAGTCTTTTGGTGCCACCACCGCATAACACCTAATACTATCACCATGATAAGTACCTCTAAAATCACCAGAGTGATCATTAAAAGACGACGTTTCTCTTATCGCGATACTAAATTCGTCCTCTTTCGCAAAATTAAAAATATCCTCGCTATCAAAATTACTAAGAACTGATTTACCCTCAGTCACCTTTGGGGGTTTAGACAGCTGCTTTTTAACAATATGCGGCAACAGCTCGCCTTTAATAGTCGAAAAACTCTGCTGACTATTCAAATACTTAACCACCCAGTTTTTCAAAACATAAATATGAGAATCAACAAGATTACTATACATTTTAATATGGGTATGTTTTTTGAGAAGGGCACGTGGTAACGATAGCTCGCTTTCAAAATCGCTTGCAGATGCTAAAAATACCAATCTGTTAGTTTGTACGTCGATTCCTACCAAATCGCGCTCTGGTTTATGTTTGGATTTGGGTCCCGGAACCACTAAACCGTCTCCACCTTGAGAATGGAAAAACAACGAAGCGACTGACGCGTCGTGCATTCTAAACACGTCTAAAACACCTTTCAGACTAACGTCTGAGACTAAATCGCACGAAACCACCAGCACGTCCGATTTTAGCCGGTCATGGAGCATCCGCAACGAGTCCGCAGTTCCAAGATCCTCCTTACCGCTGATCGGGAAATACTCGATTTTAATCTCAAGCTCGGTTTTATCGAGAACGCTCTGAATTTCGCTTTTTTGCTGTTCGAGAACGACTAGTATTACGTCTGTAATTTTATAAGTAGAATATTGATGGTAAAGGGGGCGTTCGTACCTGTGAAACCCGACTGTTGTAGCTTGTAAAGGGGATACCACACGAGGGGCTTCGTTCCGACTGGTAGCAAGCATTTGGGTTTGCCTGATGTTATTTCAGGCATTCGAGAACCCTTGCCAGCTGCTAGGACTACGGCTTGGAATTCGGCTTGCAGTGTCATATTGGTCTTTAATAAAGGTATATAAGAGGTAGCTGCAGAGATTTAAATTGTTTTAGTTCGATAGTTTCACGTAATATGTTGCAAGTTATTGTAAGAGTAATAATAAAATTGAGGTTATGTCATTTTTTTAGATTTTCGATGGCGGTTGGCACAATTGTTACGCAGTCGCCAACGCCAACTAAATCACTAAATTAATTAATTAATTAAAAGAAAAATTGCATTTAATTGCTTGCAACAATTTATTAACACGATTCAAAAACTAGGGTTACGTGTGTATAACAAAATTTGCTTGTTTGATTTGTTACACACTTGTTACGTTCGAAATTATTTTAAAATTCTAGTTGTCGGTTTTAAGTTGGTAGTTCTGTGACAATTCTGTCACTGTCCTGTCATATTTATTTACATAATGGCAAGCCGGAGTTGTTTGTTTTGATTGTTATTTAGTGCAACAAAGTGGTAGCCGGTGGTTATTTCCACCTTTAACACTAGTGGGTTGTGACCAGTACAAGTGAACAGTTTATTTAACTCGAGTAAACCAAAATGGGACGTAGAAAGTCAAAGAGAAAGCCAGCTCCGAAGAGGAAAGCCGTGGAGCCCCTAGACCAGCAATTCAACTGCCCATTTTGCAACCATGAAAAGTCGTGTGATGTGAAAATGTGAGTATTAAATTTTTAACCGACGTGTAGTAATTTGTCTTCGTTTTTTTTAGGGATAAGGGTCGAAATACGGCACGAATAACGTGTCGAGTTTGTTTAGAAGACTTTCAAACGACTATAAACTTTTTATCAGAGCCACTGGATGTGTATAATGATTGGATAGACGCGTGTGAGTCTGCAAATTAATGTATAAGTTTTTTATTGTATAGTTTATGATTAGTGTTTCACTTTATGTGTTTTAACGTTTAATCAGTTTAGATTTAATCATGAAATTAATTGGTTGAGCATTTTAACATTAAAACGTTTTGTAAAAAACGTGTACTTTAGGTAATGTGTAATAAAAAATACACTAATTTTGGTTTTCTTTACGTGGAAAATTCATCTTGTGGTTTTTCGTTTTTCAAGTTTGGCATTTAATAACGAGTGCCGCAAAGAAGCGTCATAGTTTAAATTAAATGACGGTTGAGGACTCCTCGACTTATGTTGGCAACAGTGTTTGTTTCTAATTAGGAATAAAACTAACTACAATAGAAAAAATGTCATAATATTTTTAACGACGCGTTTTACTTTAATTAATTCAGGTCATACGAATTACAGTTCGTCGCCTGAGAACTTGTTTGATCTACAAACCAGAGCGCACTCAGGCCAATGTCGACTAAGCGTTCGGAAACGATTTGATTTATAAGCCATGATTCGTGATACACATCCTAATCGGTTTCGACCATAATTTCTTGCTGTTTCAACATTCGAATTCTCAGTTTTTCGAAATTTTAGTTTGGGAACTTTTCAGTTTACTCCCATTTATTATTCAATTTTCTCAGTTTTTCCAGTTTTCCATTTTTTCGTTTTTTGATTTTTCGATTTCTCAATTTTTTAATTTCTCAGTTTTTGGACATTTCGGTTTTGGGATTTTTCAGTTTACTTATTATTCAATTTTTCGATCTTACGATTTTGCAGGATTTTGATTTTTCAACTTTTTGATTTTTTTAAGGTTTCGATATTTCGACCTCACTTTTTTGATTTTTCGATTTCTCAATTTTTCGGTTCTTTAGATTCTCAAATTTTGGGTATTTCAGTTTTGGGATTTTTCAGTTTTTCGATTCGTCAGTTTTTCTTTCATTTTTCAGTTTTTCGATCTTTCAGTTTTGGGATTTTTCAATATTTCTGTTCTTCGACTTTTCCATTTTTAACTTCTGGATTTTTCGATGTCGACTTTTTACTTTTTCGATTTTTCAGTTTTTTGATATTTGAAGTTTTAAATATTTAAAATTTTAGATTTTCCGATTTCTCGATTTTTCATTTCAGTTTACTTATTATTCAATTTTTCGATCGTACGATTTTGCAGGATTTTGATATTTCAATTTTTCGATTTTTTTAAGGTTTCGATATTTCGACTTCATTTTTTTTATTTTTCGATTTCTCCATTTTTAGGTTCTTTAAATTCTCAGTTTTTTTTTCATTTTTCAGTTTTTCGATTTTTCAGTTTTGGGATTTTTCAATATTTCTGTTCTTCGACTTTTCCATTTTTGACTTCTGGATTTTTCGATTTCTCGATTTGTCATTTCAGCTCTTCCATATTTCAATTTTTCAAATCTTTCGATTTTTCGACTTCCCGGTTTTAGGTTTTCTGTTTTTCAATTGTCGTTTTTTCAATTTTTCGATTTTTAAATTTAAATTTTTCAATTTTTTGATATTTTAATTTTTAAATATTTAAAATTTTAGATTTTCCAATTTCTCGATTTTTCATTTCAGTTCTTCGATATTTCAATTTTTCAAGTTTTCGAATTTTTCAAATGTTTTGATTTCTTAATCTATCGATTTTTCGACTTCCCGGTTTTAGATTTTCTGTTTTTCAATTGTCGTTTTTTCAAATTTCCGATTTTTCAATTTTTCAAATTTGACATTTATAAACTGTCAATTTTTCAATTAATCGATGTTTTGATTTTCCCATTTCTTGACTTTCGAGGGTTTCCATAACTTCTTGTTCTTCAATTCTTTAATTTTTCAATTTTTCAGGTTTCGATTTTTCGACTTCACTTTTTGGATATTTCAGTTTTCGGATTTTACAGGTTTTCCATTTTTCAGTTTTTCGATATTTCAGTTTTGGGGTTTTTCAGTATTTTGATTCTTCGACTTTTCGATTTTTGGCTTGTGTCGATTTTTCGACTTCCCGGTTTTAGATTTCCAGTTTTCATTTATCGTTTAAAATTTTTCGATTTTTCAATGTTTTGATTTCCTGATTTAGTTTCCCATTTTTAGTTTTCCTTTCATTTTTCAGTTTTTCGATATTTCAGTTTTGGGATTTTTCAATATTTCGATTCTTCGACTTTTCGATTTTTAAATTTTAGATTTTTTAATTTTTAAAATTTTAGATTTTTCGATTTCTCGATTTTTCATTTCAGTTTTTCCAAGTTTTCGAATTTTTCAAATGTTTCGAGTTCTCAATCTTTTGATTTTTCGACTTCCCGGTTTTAGATTTTCTGTTTTTCAATTGTCATTCTCTCAAATTTTCGATTTTTCAATTAATCGATGTTTTGATTTTCCCATTTCTTGACCTTCGAGTGTTTCGATTTTCCTGTTCTCAATTCATTAATTTTTTGATTTTTCAGGTTTTTTGTTTTTTCAATTTTTCGATTTTTAAAGGTTTTTATTTTTCGACTTCACTTTTTTGATTTTTCGATTTTTCAATTTTAGGATTTTTCAATATTTCAATTCTTCGGCTTTTCGACTCCTGGATTTTTCCATGTGTCTGCCTTTTTACTTTTTCGATTTTTCAATTTTTGGATTTTTAAATTTTAGATTTTTCAATCTTTGGATATTTTAATTTTTCAATATTTCTTAATCTTTCGATTTTTCGACTTCCTGGTTTTTCCGATTTGTTAATTTTTCATTCCCGATTTATCGAGATTTGATTGTTCAAGCTTCCGATTTATCAGTTTTTCAATTTTTTATTTTGGCCTATTTCGGTTTCTTAGTTTTTCCAGTATTCCATTTTTTCGTTTTTTGATTTTTCCGCTTTTCCAATTTTTCAACTTTTAACTTTTTGTTTGTCGATTTCTCTATTTTTCGATTTTTCGACTTCAACACTTCTCGATTTCTCGTTCTTTTGATCTTTCAATCTCTCAATTTTTCGAATTTTTAAGTTTTTTTGATTTCTTGATTTATCGAGATTTGGATTTTTCGATATTTTGATTGTCAATTTCTCAATTTATAAGTTGTTCAATTTTTAACTTTTCGATTTTGCGATTTTGGCCTATTTCGGTTTCTCAATTGTTCGACTTTTCGACTCCACGATTTTTTGATCTTTTGATTTTTCGATTTCTCGGTTTTTCGATTTTTCGTTATTCGGTTTTTAAATTTTAGATTTTTAAATTTTACATTTTTTCGATTTTCTGATGTTTCATTTTTCGATTTTCAGTTCTTCGATATTTCGATTTTTCAATGTTTCGGTTTTACGATTTTTCAAGGTTTCGATTTTTCGATTATTAGATTTCTCAATTTTTGAAATTTTCAATTATTTTAATTTTTCATTTTTTCTTCTCACTGTTAATATCTTACAGTTTATCGAAAACAACCACAAAAATTGTCACTAAAAACATTCAAAAAAATTCATACAAAATAGAACAGAGTGTTTCCAAAACGTTTTCCCGAAAAAAATCCATTGGGTTATTACGATTTCAACAATATTCTTAGTTTAAGACGTTTTGCTAGTATAAAACACAAATAAAGAATTAATTCTTAGTTAAACAAAATATGTAACAATTTTTTTTATTGGCATTAATCTATGCTTTTAGCTTATTGAAATATACGCGAAATTTCTAAAAGGTGACGCTCATTGCCGCAAAATACTCATTTTGATAAGTATGCAACCAACAATACAAGTCGTGCCATCCTTGAGATAATAGCTGACCAAAAATGTTTTGGATTAGAATTGGCTATGGAAATATTTGTCATGCATAACCTCATTTGGATTTTTGTAAGCAAAATTTCGCAAAATTTAATTGAAATTTGAGTTTTTTTAAATCTGGGGAATTTTGTCAAGGTTGGTGATGGGTTGGTCTGACACGAATCACGAAATATTTGAAGTTCGAATTTTCACAACAATTGTAATTCGAATCAATTCGAGTTTTGGTCAGTTAAAATTGGTTAAATGTCTTGTGAAGAAGTTAGTGAAGTCCTTACGCCTCCCGAAATACGGGAAATTTTAATTTGACATTTGCTACTGACATTCACCTGACATTTTTCGTGATGGCTACCAACCTTACCAATCTAAATTTATAAAATTCAAATTTAAAGAACTTCATAACTTATGACTTGGGAGTATTATGGATGATGGAGGCATGGTTTGCATTTGGCAAAATTTGGTGCATTCAGGGGAAAACATATCATTCACGAGTGTGTTTATATTCTTTTATTCGTCAGAGCAATATTAACAAATCTTGAATACCTAAAGCTTAAATTGTTATTATAATATAATAAATAAATATTTTTAACAAATTTAAAAGTAATATTGCAGCTGAAAAGAAATCGTGACTGTAGCTGAAAGTAAGTTAAAGAATTTATTAAATTTGATTACATGTTTAATTTCAGAGGGTGTACTAAACTTTTAATAAATTCTTTAGTTCGGTTAATACACCTGAAAAAAATACCTTAGGTACACCATGGAGTCCGTTTGACAGCACTAACAAATTGTACAAAAGAATATACGACTAGCCCAAAGCATAATTATAATTAAAGCAATCTAAATGCCAAATTTGTATAACTTTATTCAACTATATCTTAGCACTACTTAAACATTACACTTACGCTATAGAAAAAATATCAATCTCTGAATATAGCCAATTCGTTCTTTGAGTAAAGAACTTTATTTGGGTTTTCATTTAAAATTTATCTTTACCAATAACGAATCGCCGTTCGTGCCACCACATTTATCAAATCCGGCGGCACGAAAGCACGATTTTATAATATTAATATAAAATCAAACTAATCAGTAGAAAAATATTGATTTCACCTACAGCAAATAAAATCTGTTTTTATTTATTTAATAAAACAACAAAAATGAGAGCTACCATACTTCAGCACTTTGTAAGAACTAGGTCGAAATGGAGTAAAAACAACTTAAGCTATGGCGAAGAATGATCCAGTCAGTAAAAGACAAAACAAGAAAAAACAACTGTTAAAAGGAACCGTAAAATAACACTTCATATTGCCGAGTGTAAGCGGCTTTAGCGTGATGACATTACAGCGCTCTTGAAGCAGCAATATCTATGACTTTAGAGACAGAAGCACATGAATATGGAAAGTTTAGAACAAGCGGGCTCTACGTTTTAGTTCACTTCTACGCCATTGCGGTAATCTGTAAAAATCCGTTCTTGATACTTGGAAAATTGCTTCGAACTCTGCGTCCGACAGATGTCTCTGTAAGAAATTGAGTCAGTATCGAAGAGGGGAATCGCCACAGTGAAAGATTCGTTCGAATTTTTCACGATGACTATATTGTTGTTACCTCAAGGTTACATCTATCAACATCCGCAGGCAGTCTGTAATTAGTGATCACAAGTAAGTGGTAAGGGTATATTTTGGCTGGTTCGTTGATTAGCATTGTGTGGGCCATGTTTGGAAGGGAACGTCGTACTTGTGACGAGTACCCGCCCGGGTAACGTCCTAGACCTCCCATGTATGTCGTGGACACGGGCATTTCTGAATTCTAACACCACAACAATTAATCCCAACGTATTTATCCTCAACAATCGTACAAAAACGACCACATAACCACCACCATTTTTACAAAGACAACTAACTGAAAGCTCAGGTCGGAAAACTATACATTGCCTCAGTTTTAATCAAAGAAAATAAATAGCACAAGAAAAAGTTGAGAACTAGTAGTGTTAGTTAGTGCATTAAAAATAACACTACAAGTTCTCTGTAGTTATAAATGAACTCGTGTTTATTTTCGTTACTTATACCTCCACCCTACTCCACAAAAGCAAGTAATAAAGAATCGAGCCGATCGAAAAGAGGAGTGTGCTTTTAGTGAACACAACCACTTCGTCTGTTAAATTTAAAAAAAGCGGTTATTGTGGGCGGCACATAAAAAGTTAGATAAAGCATTATTTACATACCAGAGCACGTCTTTCAACATCCGTGATGGATCCAGTGGAAACTGAAGAAAAAGCATTAACTTAACATTCTAGCTCGATAATATTCAAAAAAATAAATTTAGAATATCAAGTCGTTTCGGAGTTTATTTTTAAACTTGAAATCATGAAGGGCGCTAAATCATGCACAAAGCTAATACTGTTTTCGAAAAACCAAAGAGAAGTAAGCAGCGTCAAAAATACTGAAAGATGGTTAAAATTCCGTGTCGGGAAAGCGTCAATTTTGCTAAATGTCTCGAGTTATTCGGTGGCGACCAACACCCACTACGAGATATACTGAGTGATTTCTGTCCGTAATTTTATGACCGATCGTGTAAAATAAGCTGCTTAAGCCAGATACTACTACGTACTGTGTGATACTTACTATCCGATTTTCCACAACTGAAGTCGGTGCTATGCGTTTTAGCACCCATCCCGCTAAACGAATAATCACCCTGTGAATTATTAATGCGATTAAACATCCTCTATTTGCCTTGGGGGCTTTGGCATAAAAACACACATAACATGCGATGAAAGTAAATACACGATGAAGGGAATGAATGTGCGGAATGGAAATGGAAACGACAAGATGAAGATCTATCAGAAGCTATCTGCAAGCGGGGTTTAGCAAGAAGACGTGGAGTGTTTCTGAGAAGCCAAAAACTCTCAATCAACAAACTAATTTATAATATTTGGTGACTATTTGTGTTGGCAATTTTGAATTACTGGTATTGACGATTGCAACTGTCATTAAAGTCGTTTTGACAATCAGGTATGCCACACTGGCAAAAAAAATCACAAACATTAATAGTCACTCGGCACTTCTAAATTTTTTAAATCGATATAGTTCAAAGTCACCTTGTTCGTAGTTTTTGCGTTTTCTGTTTAGATATAAATAACTTCCAATCGATTTCACATTGAAAAAAATTCAGTTTTGTGTATTTACATTGTCATTGTAATTGTATTCTAATCACAAAAATAACCCAATGTGTCCCACTTTACTACAGAATGTTGCGGTTTCAAATATTATTATTTATAACAACTGGGTTTCATGAATAACAAACATTCCCAACCACACAATTCTACTGAAGTGCTTCTGTTACTGTTTAAGTATTTTAAATATTAAAAACACGACTTAACGTCACTTTTAATTCATCAAAAATACCGTGTGTCTGGAAAATGGTGGATTACCTCTTCAGTACAGGGGTCTAGAGTCTCAATTTTTTTTTAAGATGTAGATTACGAAAATAAATAACCAAATAAAACACCTTTAGTATTTGTAGCATGATAAACCAGATATTTAGAAGACATTAAAAGTTTAATGATGTTGTTTCTTTCTCCTTTAAGATTCCTAATTAAATTATATTGTAACGGATTACAATGCAAAAAATCGAAGATACAAATCCTTAAAATCAAATTTTAATGTACATAGTGTTTATAAAAAAATTGTAACACTTTTCAATTTTCAAATATCGGTTTTGAAAAATAACCCTGTTGCGTTTTTTTTGCGAAACCTTCTATTACAAAAAAATATTTAAAAAATTGGAATAACGTGTCAACTTCGCCTTGGAATTTCAAAATTAAACTGTGGTTGTAAACCAATCAAAATTTCAAAAAACCTGTGGGACGTTTTATTTAAAAAAAAAAAACAAGTTTTAAGTTACACCTATAAAACAGAACACTCTGAATAGTTAAAAATAATTTTGATCTTTGACTTTTTTCTGTTTCTAATAATTTATGAGCGCTTAGTGACACCCTGTATATTTTTCGCCACTAAAAAATGTTTCAAAGACGAAGCGACTCTTATTTGCATATAGTGTTAATACTAGTTCTACGCCACTTTTTGATGGGAAATTTTGATTTACTCCCCTAGAAATGACCCAGAACGTGAATCAGCGCCGATTTCAAATTGTCCCGCCAAAAAAGTGGCCTATAATCAGAACTTGCGCTGAATCAAGTGACCGAGAACTTGAGTCTGCTCACGAAGTCAAATTTTCCCGCCACAAAGTGGCCTAGAACCCCCACTATACCGGATGTCTGGAAAATGGTCGATTAACTCTTCAGTACATTAGGTACGAGGGTTACGGGAGTCTCAAAAAATAATAAAAAAACTTTTTATGATGTAGATTACGAAAAACGTACCTTTATACAAGTAAAATTGGCAACACTGCACATACCTAATGCGTGAATACCTCTACTTAGTTTCTGATTTCTTAGTAACCATGATGACTGAAATCCACCTTTTTTTTTTCTAGGATAATAACCATAACAACCAGGGGGGCTAGTAGTTGCTAAGATAAGACTGATTTTGGTTAATAAAATATCCCCTAAGAAAAGAGCGGGTGGGTGGGCGGGATTAGTACCTGCTAAGATAAGGCTGATTTTGGCAAACGAGATACCCTCTAAGAAAAGTGAGGACGAGTGGGCAGGGCTAGTATTTGCCAAGATAGATCATAGATTACAAGTACTAACTCCGCCCACACGCCCTTTATTTTCTTAGAGAGATCTCATTTGCCAAAATCAGTCTTATCCTAGCAGGTACTAGCCCCACCCACCCACCTTCTCTTTTCTTAGAGTATGTCATTTGCCAAAATTAGTCTTATCTCAGCTAGTAGTTGCTAAGACAAAACTGATTTGGCAAATGACATATCCTCAAAAAAAGAGTGGGTGGGTGGGCGGGGCTAGTAACCGCTAAGATAAGACTGATTTTGGCAGATGAGACACCCTCTCAGAAAAGAGAGGGCTGGGCAGCGGGGCTATTACCTGCTGAAATAATACCGATTTTGGCAAATGACATACCCCACAAGAAAAGAGAGGGTGGGTGGGCGGGGCTAGTACCAACTAAGATAAGACTGGTTTTGGGAAATGAGATACCCTCTAAGAAAAGTGAGGACAAGTGGGTGGGGCTAGTACCTGCTAAGATCGATCTTAGACTAGCAAATACTAACCCCGCCCACCCACCCTCTCTTTTCTTAGAGAGATCTCATTTGCCAAAATCAGTCTCATCCTAGCAGGTACTAGCCCCACCCACCCACCCTCTCTTTTCTTAGAGTATGTCATTTGCCAAAATCAGTCTTATCTCAGCTACTAGTTGCTAAGATAAAACTGATTTGGCAAATGACATATCCTCAAAAAAAAGAGGGTGGGTGGGCGGGGCTAGTAACTGCTAAGATAAGACTGATTTTGGCAGATGAGATACCCTCTCAGAAAAGAGAGGGCTGGGCGGCGGGGCTATTACCTGCTGAAATAATACCGATTTTGGCAAATGACATACCATATAAGAAAGGAGAGGGTGGGTGGGCGGGGCTAGTACCAACTAAGATAAGACTGATTTTGGCAAATGAGATACCCTCTAAGAAAAATGAGGACGAGTGGGCGGGGCTAGTACCTGCCAAGATCGATCTAAGATTAGCAAGTACTAACCCCACCCACCCACCCTCTCTTTCCTTAGAGTATGTCATTTGCCAAAATCAGTCTTATCTCAGCTAGCGACTAGTTACTAAGATAAAACTGACTTGGCAAATGACACATTCTCAAAAAAAACAGAGGGTGGGTGGGCGGGCTTAGTAACTGCTATAATAAGACTGATTTTGGCTAATGAAAGACCTAAGAAAAGAAAACATAGATGGGTGGGGTTAGTACCTCCTAGGATAAGACGGATTTTGGCAAATGAGATCCCTCTAACAAAATGAGGGCGGGTACGCGGGGTTAGTACCTGCTAAAATAAGATCGATTTTAGCAAATAACATACCCTCTAAGAAAAGATAGGGTGGGTGGGCGGGGCTAGCACCTGCTAAGATAAGACTGATTTTAGCAAATGACGTATCCTCTAAGAAATTTAATTAAATTATTATAAGAAAAGATTCTAGAGGCTCCAAAGCACTTTCAAATTATTTCCAATTGGATCCTCAAGATTTTTTAAATTTGTCAAAAAAAAAACAAGGTCCCAAAATTAACTAAATACAAAAAGAGTTCAGGACAGGATTTTCCAAAAATAGAACACCAAAGTCCCCCAAAATTATTTTAAATAAATTACAAAAAAAAAATCTCCATGGGTTCCCAAACATTGCGACACTCAAGACTTTTTTCAAGCTCATCTAGCAACAAAACACCGAATTCCTTAAATTTATCTGAAAATAAAACACCAGGGGACTTAAAATTTTCTGCGAACATTTTAAACGATTTGATCAATAAAATAAATCACTTCGCTTTTTTTGAAACACCCTACATATTCAATTTTAAAATTAAAAATGAATCTTCAAAGTACAATTAATACTTCAGCGTATTTTATGAACATTTTTTAGTATTTTTTTTTACCCTCCAAGAAAAGTGAAGACAAGGGGTGGGGCTAGTACCTGCCAAGATCGATCTTATCCTAGAAGGTACTAGCCCCACCCACCCCCCCTTTCTTTCCTTAGAGTATGTCATCTGCCAAAATTAGTCTTATCCTAGCAAGTATGAGCCCCACCCACCCACCCTCTCTTTTTTTAGAGTATGTCATCTGCCAAAATCAATTTTATCCTAGCTAGTACCTGATAAGATAAAGCTGATTTTGGCAAATGAGATACCCTCTAAGAAAAGAGAGTGTGGGTGGGCGGTACTAGTACCTGCTAAGATAAAACTGATTTTGGCAAATGAGATACCCTCTAAGAAAAGAGAGGACGGATGGGCGGGGCTAGTACCTGCTAAAATAACACCAATTTTGGCAAATTACATACCCTCCAAAAAAAGAGAGGATGATCGAGTGGGGCTAATATCTGCTAAGATTACACTGATTTTAGCAAATTACGTATTTTCCAAAAATAGAAATTTTTTTTTGTAAATTATTTAAAACAATTTTGAGGGACTATTTTTGGAAAATTCTGACCTGACTTGTTTTTTGAGTTTTTTTAGGACCCCGTTTTTTTTGAAAATTTAAAAATATATTGAGGTTCTAGGTATTCCTGTTTGGAAAAAAATTGAAACAGCTTTCTGAAGCCTCTAATATCTTTTCTTATAATAATTTAATTAAATTTCTTAGAGGATGCGTTATTTTAGCAAGTATTAACGCCGCCCACCCACCCTCTATTTTCTTAGAGGGATCTCATTTGCCAAAATCAGTCTTACCTTAGCAGGTACTAGCCCCGCCCACCCACCCTCTCTTAGAGGGTGTCTCATTAACAAAAATCAGTCCGATCTTAGCAACCTTAGCATATATTAGTACTTTTATAAGTGGATGCGAAATGTTTTTAAACCGACAATTGTCATCTGAAAATATCTTAACTGATTATCTTTTACTTTTCACGGTTTCTTGGTATTCACAACTTACAGAACACGGGTATGCAGCACTCGATTTCCATCCCTATGTCAAAATATTATTAAATGGGTCTTACATGAAATTTAGGTTCTTTTTTAACTTTACGCATATGGATTTTCGAAAAACTGACGTCTCAAATGTTCAAATTCATTTCCTTGTACAAGTTATAACGTCACCTTAAAAAAATATTAAAATGCGTCGTGAAATAATAAGGCGAAAAAACCATATTTATCAGTTTTTAGAGATTACGTCATCAGTTTTCTGGAGGGGAATCAATTTTAGTTAATCTCGTGTAATTCTTAAATTAATGTGAGTCAGGAAAAATGGACTAGCTACCTTTGAGTAAATCAACACTATAAATTGCTTCGTTCCGTAACGCCCTCTATAGGTATACGTTTTAATGATTAATCGAAAACTTATATCAAGCTATTTTGTCAGAGCTTTTTTGACGGGTCACGGGTCCAAGTATATTTTGCTTCAATAACCCAAAGGAATAAAATTAAAAGGATATACAGTCCGACATTTTAAGATGACGTCACGAATTTTCCAGGGGATGAATCAATAAATTTTGGTTAGCATTGTATCATCCCCACAATAATTTAAAAATCACCAACAAACCGATGGACCACGAAACCGATATTTTCTAGACACCCGGTATAATAACTCCTTTTTATTTTTCACACTTATATAAATTTCCGAGCTTTTTTGGGTGTCGGGCACAACTTTCTCTTGGAAGTCACTGTGAATTTTTTTTTTTTAATTTGTCTGACTTGATTGAAACTTTTTGAGCTGGACAATGCACATGGAGCATACACAAAAAGCCGCGCAGGATGTCAGAAGTCGTGAGTCAGTTGAAGAGAATCTCAGTCAACGAAAATGACCACCGCAACCCCAAAACACGAAAGCGATTCTTTTAACCAGCTCACCGTCTACAACTGTCGAAAATACACAAGCTCAATAATTACAAAAGCATGCCGATCTTAAGACTTACAGGAATTTGAGGATAGCTACCCGCAGAAGAACTGAATGTATGAGATCGTGGCGCCAAACCATAACCTGGCTTAGGAACATGTCGCAGAGCACTCACAACTGCATAGCAAAGGGGAAGTGAAAATACAATGGTACAATGGTAGAAACAGAATGAGAACAAATAAAAGTGAGACCGCATGTTAACGATGTGTTTTTAAGACGCTCCAAAACTAAGCCCATAATTTTGAAACGTCCGACTTATAATAAAATTAACGCTACTTACATATCCGTTTCTAGCAGGCAATGTCGACGATTTTAACCCATAACCTGGTCTAGGGACACTTCTTAAAGATGAGACTACTGTACAACACGCAAAATAAAAATATGCAAAATAATAAAAAGTCGATGCTATTTATAAAGCTAATCATGCAAACGAGTGATAAACCAAAACAAAACTCTCAGCTGCTCTAAAGCTATCGAAAAACAATCCGTGATTATCACTAGCAAAAAATCATATTTACAATTTTCCTATCAAAAACACGGTCTTATTAATTTTGTTATTAGGAAAATCATCCTCGCAAACAATTATATTAATCGCATGCGTTTTAATTTTCGACGTTTCCACATTCACACCTCACCTTCTCACTATCTGCCAATTGTAGCTAAAAATTCTGTTAATTTTGTGTTTGTTTATCCTGCCAATTCGGTCATTTCTTAGCGTCGAACGTCCCCGCAGGGTTCTTATTTTAAATTAGATAAATTAAGTGCGCGCCCTCTAGTTTCTAACACGACAAATGCAAATACTGCGTCTAATCATCGCTCGTCTTGACGGTTCAATTATTACCAGCAATTTCGCAGCAATTAAATACCCGTTAAATATGCCATGACATGTATGTGGGTGTGCATAAATAATTCCCATCCAATCAAAAAGAATCGACTTTTGTATAAAACAGCCTCGAGTGACGTAAATATTTACATTTCTAAAAAAACATATTACTAATAAAAAATACTCGACGCCCACTCATGTCAGCATTCTACTTGCAATCTAATTTAAAATAAGACTCGTTATTTCTACCCACAAAAGTTTCTTACCATTATAATTGGGAGCCGACCATCCCGCCGAGCGTCCCACCGAAGACCGACCGCTGTACGACCTGTCGTACTCGTCCTCGTCGAAAGGTTTCGGATGATCCATGTTCCTGGATGGACTTGCACCAATAGGATTATCGTACCTCAGTCTATATGATGGTTCTTTGTTTGCGGAAGGCGTCCTAGAAACACACAATAGTACTCCGGAACTACTCTACAAAAGTACTACCTAGACGCATTCCTAGGATCTAAATGAGCAGCCTTCCATTGTCTTAGTTTCTCTCTATCCTGTACACTTTTTAAGAACACTTTTCCTATTCCACTAGATATTTTACTCAACTCTTCTTCCTCTTTTTTGAGTTTTAAATCTTCTACTTCTTTAGGGCTTAAACCGTCTACTTCGTCTTCGTCCGAGTCCGGGACTCCTTTGTACGAGTCTGACCACCGCTTTCGGCGTTCTAATACAAAAATGAAAAGTATTTAAATGATAATGGAGGGTGGTGGTTCCTACCTGGGTCAGTGTATGGATATGGCGGTGCTGGGAAGTCATCCCTTTCTATTTTGGGCGGTTCTCCGGGCACTGGTGGTTTAGCGGCCGGGAAATGCGCTAATTCTATTGGTTCTTCGTTATTCATGTGCGGCGATTTAGGCCTAGGCGTTTCGCTCCTGATGGAGTCGACCAGGACTTTCATGGCCGATCTAGAACTGGGTCTTTTACTACCGCCTTGACTACCTCTTAAAGAATTTTGTGCTGCAATGGTGACTCGTGTACATCAAAAAAACAAGTAAAATCGAGCGACTTACAAGTTGGTCTATGGAAATGTGGCGAAGTGGGAGCTTTATCGTAAGGTTCTATGGGTCTGCGTAAATAGCCTAAAGTTGGTTCTTCTGTAAGGTAACTATAAGTGTATATTCTGGATATATCGTCGGCTAAAGTCGCTGATTTGTTATGTTCTCGTAATATCAAGCCCGGCGAAGGTGTTCGGTAACTGAAATGCTGCGAAAAAGCGGCGACGTTCAATATAGTCGAATACGAAAAAGTAACATTTAAAAAACAACAAACAATGGGATGTCGAGCAACAAATACGTAAAAAAAAGAAACCAACCTTCCTATGGGACATGCTTGTGGGACTGTATAACGAACCATTCAAGCTAGGGGTGCGAGAGCGCATGGAGAACTGTAAAATACCATGCAAAAAATAAAACAACTACGCTCGCAGACCAACGAAAAAAAAAACAAAATTTGGGGAATAACAACGAAACGGAGTCAAATACCTGCATCTCGCTCACGCCGGAGCTACTCATTCTATCGAATTCCCTAACTGATGCGTCCGTGTCGGTGCAGTGGCCGTTCGGCTCCCCGGACCCGTTCAGGATCTGCCCGTTCTCGGTCGGACCCGGGCCGCACCGGGGGTGCCAAATGGCGCCGCCTTGAAGGTACATCTCCTCGCCGTCCCCGAACGGATCGCCGCATTTCGTGCATCGGGCGCAAGTTGGGTGGAAATGATGATTTTCACCGGCCTATAAAACAACACAGAGTTACTAAAGACTTTTTATTAAGGCTAGACGTTGCGGAAGTTTCAAAGGTCAACTTGACACATTTTTTTACAGGCTGAAACAGATGCCTACACAAAAAGAATTACATCAAATTTAATATATCTTGCAGTCAATATTTACGAAATATTACGATTATGTAACCACAAACTTTGACATTTATTTTCAGTTCAAAACAGAATGGATCTGACTGCGTGGATCCGTGCCACTTTTTTAATTTTTAGGTTTAATCTTCTCTTTTCCCTTTAATTCTTCTGCTCTTCTTTTTATGTGCATGGCCCAATGCCTCAAAAACCCCATGTCAAAGAACCGGTCTTGTTTTGCCAATTATGCAATCTTAAGGTTATTTATAACTAAAAGCACCGTTCGTCTTATCCTTTTAAATTGAACTTTAACGCGACTGATGTCAGTGCCTGAAATTGTGATGATTCAAACCACAAAAAACTGGTTAATGAAATATAAGGAGTGACGATATGCTAATTTGGTAGCACTAGAAGTGTCCTGTGATGAAGGATCCTAATAAATGCATTACCAGCTCAACGAACAATTACATTAAATGCGCGCTTACTCATAATTTAGAATTTAGCTTCGAAGAATTGAGTCAACAATGGTGCTATAAATTATTGACGAAAAAAAACTTAAATGATCGTTTAATTTACTCTATATCTTCAATTTTCTGTAAAAAAATACACAAACCACTTTTTCCGTACGCTAGAAGTAATGAAACGTCGAGAAAACATAAAAGTGACAAGTCGCCCAACAACTTAGCTTACGCTGAGGAAGAAAAAGGCTATAAAAACGTCAAAACAGACCTTGAGTAAATTGTAAATTTGACGTGATTAAAAAAGTTGTGTACGAAAACTTGTCACAGTTCCTGCTACATTTAGAAAAAAATTATATTTTATTATTCATGATTTTTTGCTCCTGCACACCTCATAAAAACTTATAGCTTAGCTGTTATGCTAAATTAATACCATTAACAAATTCCGTACGACTTTTATGAACTATAAAATAGCAAAACTTATAACGCGTATCAAAGTACATGCAATGGAAAAACCTGAGGCTCTTTTATTAACAACAGTGTCGAAGATATGACGTCAATATTTCTTTTTAAATAACAATGTTATTTTTATGTACACATTTTAGATAATGATAAACAAGTTAAATATAAACAGTCTTTTTTGTAATTAACACAAGAAATCTGAAGAACTTAATTTGAGCTAGCACTTGCATGTGATATTTTTATTATAAACCTGACTTAAGTAATTCTAGAGTCAGTCATACTTTACACAGGTTTTTACTCTCCAAAAGATCCTATTATGATTGAGGAATTGTAATTCGCCGAAACGGCTATAAAAAAACTAATTCTCTAGTAACACTTAAGTGGGATTTATAAACTTGCTGCTGACGTTGAAATTAAAAATTGTCATTTATAAACTGCGTTGCCAAGTTGTTCTATTTAAAAGGGTTGTTGAAGAAAACTGAACGATTTAAGTTGATTACTACAAAAATTTACCCTTTTTGAAATGTTATAAGTGTCTTGTTGCCAAAACAAGTCTACACATATTAAGAAAAAAAAGGCAAAATATAGCCCCGCCCACCCACCCTATCGCAATTGTGATGATTTTTTTTATTCGTCGTGAGCCAAACGGGCGGAGTTTACAACTGCAAAATTCTTATTTCTCTACAAGAACAAGAAAAAAAAGGCAAAATGTGGCCCCGCCCACCCGCCCTATCTCAATTGTGATGATTTTTTATTCGTCGTGAGCCAAGAGGGCGGAGCTTAACTGCAAAATCCTTATTTCCTTACAAAAATTTACCATGTTAAACGTGTTTTAAGTTTCTAAGAATAAAAAAATCATCACAATTGAGACAGGCTGGGTGGGCGGGGTTTAATATTTTACCTTTTTTTCGTAATATATATATATAGTATTCTTTGAACAACACGATACTCAAGAACATGTTTTTAATTTCTTGTAAAAAATAAGTATTTTGCAGTTAAGCTCCGCCCCCTTGGTTCACGGCGAATAAAAAAAATCGTCACAATTGAGATAGGGTGGGTGGGCGGGGTTTATATTTGGCTTTTTTTCTTAATATATCTAGTATTTCTTGAACAAGACGATACTCACAAACATGTTTTTAATTTCTTGCAAATCAGTTTTTTTTAATCATAATAAGGCGACAGTTTTTGTGAAAACTATGTAATTGGTAATTTTTTAGGAATTTTAAAACGTACATAAATTGTTATGATACGATTTGGATATTTTGTAAAAATCTCGATGCCCAGGACAAACAATCAAGGAAGATTCATATACCACAAATACAGGATTAAGTTACTTTATAAAATTTAAATAGTATTTACTATGCAAATTTTTTTCTTTTTTCAAATAATACAAAAAAAAAAAATGTTAAAACTCTCGGCTACGCTTCGAACGGATGGGGTCACTCGACAACTTTATACATATTTCAACTTTGGCAAAATTTCTTGTAACGGGTGTTCAAATTAAAAAGTCATCAACTTGAAGAAAACATAGTGAAAATTGCATGTAACAGTTAATTTTAAGTCGAAATAAATCTACACATATTAAGAAAAAAAAAGGCAAAATGTAGCCCCGCCCACCCGCCCTATCACAATTGTGATGATTTCTTTATTCGTCGTGAGCCAAGAGGGCGGAGCTTAACTGCAAAATCCTTATTTCCTTTCAAGAATTTACCATGTTAAACGTGTTTTAAGTTTCTAAGAATACAAAAAATCATCACAATTGAGATAGGGTGGGTGGGCGGGGTTTAATATTTTGCCTTTCTTTCTTAATATATGTAATATTCTTTGAACACGATACTCAAAAACATGTTTTAATTTCTTGTAAAGAAATAAGCATTTTGCAGTTAAGCTCCACCCCCTTGGTTTAGGGCGAATACAAAAAATCATCACAATCAAGACAGGGCGGGTGGGCGGGCTTACATTTTGTTTTTTTGTTTTAATATGTGTAGATTTCTTTTCATAATATGAAACTTAAAACATCTTTAAAATAGAAAATTTGTATAAGGAATTATCGATTTTGCAATTAGGCTTCGCCCCATAATTGCAAAATCCATATTTCCTTGCAAAAATTGCATTTGACAGAGTTAATTTTAAGTCGATATAAATCTACACATATTAAGAACAAAAAGGCAAAATGTAGCCCCGCCCTATCTAATTGTGAAGATTTTTTTATTCGTCGTGAGCCAAGAGGGCGGAGCTTAACTGCAAAATCCTTATTTCCTTACAAAAATTTAACATGTTAAACGTGTTTTAAGTTTCTAAGAATAAAAAAATTATCACAATTGAGACAGGGCGGGTGGGCGGGGTTTAATATTTTGCCTTTTTTTCTTAATATATATAGTATTCTTTGAACACGACACTCAAGAACATGTTTTTAATTTCTTGTAAAGAAATAAGCATTTTGCAGTTAAGCTCCGCCCCCTTGGTTTATGGCGAATAAAAAAAAATCATCACAATTGAGATAGGGCGGTTGGGGGGGGGGGGGGTCTTACATTTTGCCTTTCTGTTTTAATATGTGTAGACTTCTTTTCACAACATGAACTTAGAACATTTTTAAAATGGAAAATTCGATTTTGCAATTAGACTCTGACCTATAATTGCAAAATCCATATTATAAATGTACCATTTTAACCATGTTTTAAGTTTCTTGTTGTGAAAAGATGGCTACATATATTAAGGAAAAAGAAGGTAAAATATAAGCCCCACCCACCCGCCCTATCTCAATTGTGATGATTTTTTTTATTCGTCGTGAGCCAAGAGGGCGGAGCTTAGCTGCAAAATCCTTATTTCTCTACGAGAAATTAAAAAGATCATTTTGAGTATTGTTGTTGAAAGAATATTAAGTATATTAAGACAAATAAAACCAAAGATTAGGCCCCACCCAAACCCGCCCCGATCTCAATTATTATTAGTCTTGAGGCAAAAGACTGAGTTTAATGACAAAATCCTTGTTTTTCAAAGAAAAAGGTTTTTGCTTTTCTTCATTTCCTATTTTTTCTTAAAACAATACGATAACACTTCAAACAAGTTTCACTCTGCAAATTCTTGCAATGACTCACAACAAATAACAAATTGATCACAATTGAGATCCGGGTGGGTGGGTGGGCCATAACTGTGATTAAACCAATACCCACCCGCCGCTATCTGAATCATGATGAATTTTTCATTCGTTGTCAGATCGAGGGGTGGGGCTTAATTGTAAGATTCATATTTGTCTAGAAGAATTTGCCATTTTAAATGTGTTTTAAGTTTCTATGAATAAAAAAATCATCACAATCGAGATAGGGTGGGTGGGCGGGGTTTATATTTTGTCTTTTTTTCTTAATATATTAATATATATATTCTTTGAACAACACGATACTAAAAGACATGTTTTAATTTCTTGTAAAGAATTGTATTTTGCAGTTAAGTTTCACCCCTTTGGTTAACAGTGTATAAAAAAAATCATCACAATTGAGACAGGGTGGGTGGGCGGGCTTACATTTTTTCTTTTTATTTTGATATGTTGTGTAGACTTCTTTTCATAACATGAAACTTAAAACATATTTAAAATGGAAGCTTCCGCCCCATAATTGCAAAATCCATATTTCCTTGCAAACATGTACCATTTTAACCATGTTTTCAGTTTCTTGTTGTGAACAGATGGCTAAGTATATTAAGACAAAAAGGCAAAATTTAAGCCCCACCCACCCGCCCGATCTCAATTCTGATGATTTTTTTTATTCGAGCCGAGGGGCGGAGCAATCCTTATTTTTCTACGAGAAATTACCATGTGAATTATGTTGGTAAGTAATCGTGTCAAACTAAATGTATTCATTAAAAAAGAAAACCAAAAGAGAAGCCCCACCCATCCGTCTCGATCACAATCGTGATGAATTTTTCATTCGTTGTCAGACTGGGGGGCGGAGCGTAATTGCAAAATCGATATTTCGCTATGAAAGTTTACCATTTTAAACATGTTTTAATTCCAGGAGATTTGCCTTTAAGTTGGCACTACCGCAATTTGATCCACCTTTAAAAAATTCGGTTGCCAATTAAAAACTGAACAGCGATCGTAAGCCTGTGATAACTTCAGAAAAACCTCATCCTCATTTGCGTCTATAATTTCTAGCAACAAATAAAATGAAGTGTCATTTTTTATTATATTTAAATGCGTGTTAGCAGTTGTATTAAGTAAGAAAAAAATCCTTTTTGAGCATTACCAAAACTGACTCCTTTTAAGATTCTTTAACAGCGGGAGGTCAATGTAATCTGTGACAGTAATCCTCTCCAAGTCCTTTCATGGGTAGCTAAGAGGTTTAATACTCTTATTAGCTGTCTACTCACGCAAATTTTTGCACTGACAAAACTGGCCAATTTTTCGTTTCTGGAGGTCGAGTAAAAGTACAAATGAATAATTTTTTGCGTCACAATAAACAAACAAACGTTAGGAATGCCATCCTAAATTAAAAGGATGCCACAACAATAAATAAAACTAATCGCGTTGGCTGCCCAAATATTAATCAAAATATTATTGATTTGCTCGTACTTGGTAACAGCCTTGAATCAGAGTGATGTGATCGATTCTCGGCACAAATCTTGCGTTTTAGTTCCACGAACACGAATTACATAACTTTACCCCTTCACACCACATAATTCTCCCCAAACTAAAAAACACATTTCGATGATTCACCCTAATTTATTCAAAAAAGATGCGTAAGCAATAAATCCCACACCACGTCGACTTTCGTCCACCCAAAACCAAATAATAGTACAGCAAATCCGCGCTCACTTTCTCCCAATTACGAAACATTTTTAACCTTGAATACAAATTTGGATGAAGTCAGACGGCTATTGCATAAAACAAACACAACTTTTAAGTTTCCTCTTACTAATTGTTAAAGAAACCGGTACCAGCAAAAAACTTTTCCTTTCTGCTTGCAGTGAATGGAAGATCGGTATCAATACGAATGTGTGCAGGTGCTTTCACGAGACAAAAAATCGAATCTATCTAGAACTAATCCGTAATTTATTGTCGTTTGAACATTTTAAAGCGACTGAAACACAGGCACGCTTCGGTTATTAACACGAAGTATAAACAGTAGCCATGAAATATTTACTTTATTGCTCCTAGTAACATCAGATGGAATCTGAGCATTTATGGCAAAAAAAGCTGATTAATGTGGCTCGTAAAAGAAAATTAGGAGAATTTAATGATACAAAGGGGACCAGATATGCGACTAGTGTTTATTTTCTCAATCCATGTGCTACACGGAGAATTTCGCTTATAGTAAGAAGTTTCATGACCGAACCAACACAATGAGGTTTTAATTTATTCCAATCCTCGTACGTTTTATTGGCATCTTCGTGTAAATGAGCCTTATCAATCACTCCCATCGCAAATTCCAACAAGTGGCAAAAATATTTTCCACGAGCTTAAGACACTCCCACTTCGTAAAATGCGAATGCCGCTATAAATCTGATTAACAACCAAACTCCCGTTGATTAATAAACACACCGAAAGCAATTACCGCCATTACATAACCTAATCATATCTCTATCTCACCTGCAGCACCTTTCCGCTGATATATCTGTTGCAATATGCGCATTTAATCCCAAATTGTTTTTGGTAATCCCTTTCACAATACGGCTTCCCATTGCGTCCCATATATTCTCCATGCAAAACCACTCCACATGTACCACACTGGAAACACCATATGTGCCACTGTTGTTCCAAGGCTACCAGAGCTTGTCCTTCGTTCAGTTCTTTGCCACAACCGGCACATTCTGAAATTTTAGAAGCCATTATTACATCTGTGCGAATCGCGATTGACCAAAATCGAAAAAATACTTCGTATCACTTATTTGGTCGAGTTATTTATAACCGTGACGAGGACGTTATCGACGTTAAAAGCGATTAGCTGTTGCAAACGTCTATCAGAATTCTCCTGGAAAGTGCGAATCCGCTATCTATCTTAATTGAGAATAATTTCAGGAGGAATGCCGATTTTTAGATTTAATTGGTTGGTTTGGTTGGGGCTTGAGTGATGTGAGGTGAGTTTTCGCTTTTGTCGGAAATGCGATCGATGTTGATTTCACAACGGAACGTCCTTAAAGGAAAAAGTTTGTTGTTTTACGTAAATGGGAAGTTGTTACGGCGAGTTACAAGCGGACTTTCTAGAGTGAATTACTTCAATTTGTTTTCAGTGGCGTAATAACAAAACTAGAATGGATACGAAGAATAAAACAGAAAATGAGAATTTATTTTTCAGCTGAAGTAGCAAGAACTTACAATTGGTATTGAGTTAACAATTTGGTTTCAGGTCGGATTTTAAATCAGCCTTTTACATTTAGCTACCCATGATTGAAATCCGTCGTTTTCATTTTCTGCCGAAAATTAATCTTATCGTGTCCACCCACTTCAACGAACAACGAAACGCGCTATTGTTCGCCAGTTTTTTTCCAAAGTGGTGTATTTATTATCACATGCAACCTTATGTCGATTAAACAATGCGCGAAATTTGTAAAATCATTAAAAGATAAGCAATAAATGGAACTGCAACCGATTGAGAGGTTTAATACTTTCAAAAAAAAAAAAAAAACTAATGTACGACAAATTTTACTTAAAATGTCAAATAAATCTACTTCTTGAGATAATGCAGAAAAACTAATCTTCAGATGTTATCTTAGATAACTGTCAGATCTACTGAAACGTGGCATTCTGTTCGTATACTAGAAATAACAAAAAGAAAAATTTACAATTCATCATATAATTTCACTGAGTAAAATGGTCATGCTCTTGAATAATATAAAAATATGTACCTACAATAATAAATGCCATTCTGTTGCTGCATTTTTCCGCTCTTTTCACCACATTATTGCTTGAAAATGGAATCGAGATTTCATTTGAATGAACTTAAAAAAACGTGTAGTATTTAATAGCACGACGTCATCAATTTTTCGGACACAATGATATTAAGCAACGGAAAAAATATTTTGTCTCAATGCCATTCAAGTTTTTTATTTTTCAAATTTGGCAGATTTTATTCCAAAAAAATTAAAAATAAAAAAATCGCTTTAGTTAAAAAAATGGTCCTAGAGTTCTTGTAACCCTATACCTAATTTCAATTGATTTGTACGACTGGTTTTCAAGATATTTAACCGTTTCCATACATTCTAGAGATCCTGTATAGAGGTTATAAGAAAACAAACATGTACTATATTTTTTCAAAGAAGCGGAATTCAGTGGACTGTCCTTCAAGGGCGAGGGAAGTTCTGCCGAAGGAACGTTGGATCAATTTGGCAAAAAAGCGGCGGAAAAAATCGACACAAAAAAAGTCATTAAAATGATAAATAAAAAAGGAATTAAAAAACGTAAAAAATTAGGAAAAATAACAGGAAAACAAAAAACCTAGAGAAATCAAGGTGACGAAAAATGTACAAAAAAACTAGAATTCAAAAAGTGCTAAAGACTTTAAAAAATGCCTAAAAATAAAAAACGGGCACAAAAGGGTAAAAAAGGACAAAAGGTTTTAAAAAGCAACAAAAAATGCGTTTAAGAACACGCGAAAAACCCCAAGAAACGTAAAAAAAGAAAAAAAAATCGACAAAAAACAGGCGTTAGAAACGCAAAAAATGCACTACAAAAAAAAACCGTTAGAATAAGCGATAAGGGACACAACAATCCGTAAAACAGTGACGAAAAAAATAAAAATCCGACCAAAAATAACAAAAAAGACGAAAAAAATAACAAATGTCAAAAAAATTTATTAAAAAAATGCGCTAAAAAAGCGACAAAAGGATGTGTAAAAAAAGACACAAAACCGACAAATAAAAGGAAGCCATAAAGGCTAAAAAAGTCACAAAAACGCCAAACAAAAAACAGGTTCCTTAAAAATAAAATTTAAAGAATATTTAATTAAAAAATAATAATAACCGTTAATTTGCGACAAGTCATGGATCCAATTACGGTAAAATTCATAAAGAAAAGTATAACAAAAGATTAAAAAAATAAATAAATAAAAAATGCGTGAAAAAAGGAACAAAAAAGAGGGAAAAACCTACAAAAAAAGGAGGCTAAAAAAGACACAAAAATACTAAACAAACAAAAAAAAAGAGAAACGCGCAACAGACAAAACTTTCCTTATAAAATTTTATTTTTTGTGAAAACCTTTATAAATTAAAAAAAATAAGAAGAGCCACAGTTTAACAAAAATGCAACTTATACCAGTATAAAAGGTTGTTATACATTTTTGGATTTTTGGAAAAATTTAATCCCTAGAGCAAAAAAAAATCAAAGCGGATTCATAAACCACGAATATAGGAATCCACATGTCACATAAAATTTAAAAGGCCTTCACTAAATTTGAAAATGTGAGGGGACGTCATCAAATTGTTGGAGGGATGATGAGCCAAATTTTTAGCAGTTAACAATAATAATTACATATTCCTAATATACAAAACATACTAAATTTGACAACAATCGATCCAGTAGTTTCGGAGATTATCTGTCTAATAAAATCTGGCCAAACAGATCGACAGACAGATGGAAATAGAAAACCTATTTTTGTATTTTACGGATGAAATGTCCAGAAAACATAAAAGTAGAAATTCGCCGGATGAATTATATTACCCCTTTTGGGTTGGTCACTGGCGCGCAGCGGTCAGTAAACCCTCTGTGGCTGGTCTAATTTCCAAATATGTTATAGGAAATTAAAAGGGTTATTGTTATCTACAGGTTCTTACATGATAAGTAATCGACGCAGTCTTTTTACTCCAGCACATTACAGTTCCATCAGTTCTACATAAGTTTGACAGCACAAGAACGACAAAATTCGAAAAATATCCTAGTTTTTAGCATGGGCGGGCTTAGTTGCTAAAATAAGATCGATTCTGCCAGATGACATGTCCTCTAAAAAAAGAGGGCGGATGGGTGGGGCTAGTACCTGCCAAGATAAAACTGATTTTGGCAAATGACATACGCTCTAAGAAAAGAGAGGGCGGATGGGTGGGGCTAGTAACTGCCAGATCGATCTTAGTAAATAAGTATTAACCCCGCCCACCCGCCCTCCACTTTCTTAGAGGGATCTCATTTGCCAAAATCAGTCTTATCCCAGCTAGTGGCTGCTAAGATAAAACTGATTTGACAAATGACATATCCTCAAAAAAAGAGAGGGTGGGTGGGCGGGGCTAGTAGATGCTAAGATAAGGCTGATTTTCGCAAATGAGATATCTTCTAAGAAAAGAAAAGATAGGTGGGCGGGGCCTGCTAAAATAAGATCGATTTTGGCAAATGACATACCCTCTAAAAAAAGAGAGGGTGGGTGGGCGAGGCTAGTATCTGCTAAGATAAGGCTGATTTTGGCAAATGAGATACCCTCTAAGAAAAATGAGGACGAGTGGGCGGGGCTAGTAACTGCCCGATCGATCTTGGTAAAATAAGTATTAACCCCGCCCACCCGCCCTCCACTTTCTTAGAGGGATCTCATCTGCCAAAATCAGTCTTATCGTAGCAGGTACTAGCCCCCCCACCCACCCACCCTTACTTTTCGTTGAGTATGTCATTTGTCAAACTCAGTGTTATTCTAGCTAGCGGCTGCTACGACAAAACTGATTTGGCAAATGACATATCCTCAAAAAAAAAGAGAGGGTGGGTGGGCGGGGCTAGTGTTTGCCAAGATAAGACAGATTTTGGCAAATGAGATATCTTCTAAAAAAAGAAAAGATAGGTGGGTGGGGCCTGCTAAAATAAGACGATTTTGGCAAATGACATACCCTCTAAAAAAAGAGAGGGTGGGTGGGCGGGGCTAGTATCTGCTAAGATAAGGCTGATTTTGGCAAATGAGATACCCTCTAAGAAAAATGAGGACGAGTGGGAGGGGCTAGTAACTGCCAGATAGATCTTAGTAAAGTAAGTATTAACCCCGCCCACCTGCCTTCCACTTTCTTAGAGGGATCTCATCTACCAAAATCAGTCTTACCGTAGCAGGTACTAGCCCCCCCCACCCACCCACCCTTTCTTTTCTTAGAGTATGTCATTTGCCAATCTCAGTGTTATCCTAGCTAGTGGCTGCTACGACAAAACTGATTTGGCAAATGACATATCCTCAAAAAAAAAAAAGGGTGGGTGGGCGGGGATAGTATTTGCTAAGATAAGACAGATTTTGGCAAATGAGATATCTTCTAAGAAAAGAAAAGATAGGTGGGTGGGGCCTTCTAAAATAAGACGATTTTGGCAAATGACATACCCTCTAAAAAAAGAGAGGGTGGGTGGGCGGGGCTAGTACCTGCTAAGATATGAGTGATTTTAGCAAATGACGTATCCTCTAAGAAATGTAATTAAATTATTTTAAGAAAAGACTCTCGAGGCTCCAAAGCACTTTCAAATGCTTTCCAAACAGGAATACCTAGAACCTCAAAATTGTTTTAGATTTTTCAAAAAAAAAAAAAAAAAACCGGGATCCCAAAATTAACTTAACTCAAAAACAAGTCAGGTCAGGATTTTCCAAAAATAGAAGACCAAAGTCGCCCAAAATTATTTTAAATAATTTACAAAAAAAAATCTCCACGGGCTCCCAAATTAATACACCATGGGTTCCCAAACACTGCGGCACTCAAGATTTTTTTTCAAATTCATCTAGCAACAAAACACCAAATTCCTTTAAATTTATCTGAAAACAAAACACCAGGGGACTTAAAATTAATTGCGAACATTTTAAACGACTTGATCAATAAAATAAATCACTTCGCTTTTTTTGAAACACGCTACATATTCAATTTTAAAATTAAAATTGGATTTTCAAAGTACAATTAATACTTCACTGATATTTGTATTTTATAAACATTTTTTTGTAATTTTTTGAAACGACGACGTAGCTTTTCCTGAGCAAATGAAAATCCTTCATTACAAAACTGAGTGAAAGTTCTTTAAGTGCGTTAATGCACTATTATTGTACTCGGTGTAAATATGTAATATGTATAGAAACCGCCTGCATTATAAACATTGTAATTACATAAACAACTATGTATTAAATGCTGAAAAAACGTTCTTTACAAGGTGAAATTAAGACAACAGAAAACACTTTCTTGATGAAAGTTTACACTCTCATACAAGTATTTGCACATTTTTTGTACTGACACAAAGAAATCCTGACAAACGTCTATGTATACAAAGCGTGTCAACGAGTCAATGACGTAACGTTACGTCCTCTCACAGCATGACGTCAATATTATTTCGCCGCTACTGTGCAAAACCTTCAAGAACCGTAAAAAAATTGTATCGTGCAATTATTATTATTATTATTATTATTATGACAAGGCAACACGGTCTACTTTTCACATTAATCACAACTGAGTAAAGGCTTTGAGGTGACACTAATAGATGTCACTATTAATTACACTGTCAATCTTATCTGTAATGGAAGCTTGAATAATTGGTTCCTCAATAGTCATTTTAATCGAACTGATAACGAAAATGGTTATTTCGTTATTCGCTTTTTGACTAAATAAGTAATCTGAGATGGATTTTAATCGGTTCCATTGTCCACGGACTTGTTTTAAACGACAAAGTCTGTGCAAAAGTCCGAAATACTTGATTTGTCATGTGTTATAGTTTCCGATGCGAAACGTTACGGGTTTTTGCAGCTCTACACCTACTATATATCACCGAGCTATTTATTTAACGTTTCAATGCAACAAATAATGACTGTATTCCGCGTCTTCGTTGCCACCTACATCACGAAAATCCTTCCTTTCGCCGCGCGCTGTTATTTCACTCCGGAAAAACGCATTATCGCCGTGATCTAATTCCCCTATAAATACTCATCACCGCCTGACTCACACATCCAGTGCATCGAGGCCACTGGTCACTTGCACACTTAATTAATTGACCGCAATCTTACCATTGGCATTATTAGTCGTTGGGCTAGTTTTAGGAGTCCCATCCCTAACCGGAATCTGAACACATTTCTGGCAGAGTACCTCTTTTCCCGTGTAGGTGACCTTCTCGTCGGGCGGCGGTTGTCGGCAGCGGTCGCACGTGAAACACTTCTTATGGTAGGTTTTGCCGAGGGCAGAGACCACCTTAAAACACCCAATTTATTCCCGCGAATTTACCGCAATTCGTCAAATCACCTCTCCCTCGACGTAATCTTGGCAAGTGGCACATTTCGTGCCGAAATTCCGTTGGTAATCGGCAGTGCAGTAATAAGCGCCGTCTTTCGAAAAGAAACCGCCTTGCGCTAGAGAATTGGAGCACACTTTGCACTTGAAGCACTGGGTGTGGAAGTATTTGTCTTGGACGCGGAGGACTTCCCCGGAACATTTTTTCTTGCAGGCTTGGCAGAGGGTTTTACCTGGAAAAGAAAAGTCGAGTTAGTTTTACGGGTTTTGTTTTGGGTTCAAATGAGTGGTCGTTATTGGAGATGTGGTGAAGATTGAGTTCATTTGAAGTAACTAGGTTTTAATGGAGCTACTGCATGTAGGTGCGTTTGCAGGATTTGCATTTTTCTGGGGGATTCACTCATGATAGCGTTAGAACTCGTCACGGAACGTTTTTGTGGTTATCGAACGGGGTTTTTAACACGAAGTGACTCTTGAAGCAGATTCCAGTGTCCTAGACCATCACACTTTTTCTCGATTATTATTAGTTCCTTATCTTTTGTATGTGGTTAATGAATCCGTGTTCAGTTTTTACCATAAATATCCATATTTTTGGAAAAAAATCAAAATTGTATACTTAACAACATTTTGCAATTGCAAAACCGAATGCTCTGACATCTTGCAAACGTTTTCAGGTTATCGTAATCATGGTAAAGCGTTACTCAAAAATCAATCATTTATACCCTTCTAAACGACTGGTGACCGTCATCCAAAAACTTTTACCTTCGATCAATTTTTTTCATATTACAATTTTTCGTTTTTTCATTTTCTTTAATTTTTCAAATTTTCGGTTTCATAATTTTTTGTTCTTCAACTTCATTTTTTTAATTTTTCAATTTTTCATTTGCAATTTTTCAATTTTGCAATATTACAGATTTTTATTTTTCGAATTTTCAGTTTCTCAATTTTTAACTTTTCGATTTTTCAATTTTTCCTGTTCTTGATTTTTATTTTTCATTTTCCCGATTTTTTTATTTTTCTTTTTATCATTTCCTTTACTTTTTCAATGTTTTTTCCAATTTTATAATTTTTCGTTTATTAAATTTTTCAATTGTGCAATTTTCGGATTTCTCAATAATATTCAGTTTTCGGAGTTTTTTAATTTTCAATATTTCGAGTTTACAATATTTCATTTTTTCGACTTTGCACTTTTTCGATTTTTAAGTTTCTCGATTTTTAATCCTTCAATTTTAAATTTTTCGTTCCTTCATTCTTTCAGGTTCTTGATTCCCAGTTTTTAGATTTTTCAAAGTTTTCACTTTATACTTTTTTTTTTTTCATGTTTTAATGTTACAATTTTGGAAAACTCGGAAAATCAAAAGTTGAAAAACTGAAAAAATTGGAAAATTGCAAAATCGAAGAAGTGGAAAATCTAAAAATTACAAATCAAAGCACTGAAGAAACGGAAAATTGAAACACTGAAAAACCAAAAATCGAGAAACGTAAATCGAAAATTTGGAAAGAAGAAAAAGCAAAACGATTCGAAAAATTGGGAGAATCCAAAAACTGTACAATAGAAAAAATATAGAATTGCCAAAATTGTACAGTCAAAAACCTATGACATTGGAAATCGAAATATTGAAAAATTCTAAAATCTGAAAGTTCGAAAATTGCCAAATTTTAAATTGAAAAAAAAAGAAAAATTAGAAAATCAGAATACTGAAAAACCGAAATGTTTAAAAAATAAAGAAAATAAACCGAAATGAAAATTGCACATCGAAAAATTAAAGAAATGAAAAATTGAAAAAATAAAAAAACGAAACGAAAAATTACAAACCGAAAATTTAAAGAAATGAAAAACTGAAAAATAGAAAAACTGCAAAACTAAAAATCGAAAAATTGGAAAGTGGAATAAATGAAACAATCTACTAGGTAATTAAAAAATGGAAAAATTCTAAAATCGTAAAATTGAAAAAGTTTTTTTTTATTATTTTGATTATTACATATTCAAAACGACAACTAGAAAAATTGAAAATCAAAAAAAATTAAAAATTTCGGAAATTAAAAAACGAAACGAAAAATTGCAAACTGAAGAAGTAGAAAAAAGAAAAATCGCAGATCGAAGCACTGAAGAGTTGGGAGATTGAAACATTGAAAAACTCAATCGAGAAACTTAAAAATCAAAAATATTAATTAATGAAAAAATTGTAAAGGAGAAAAAACGGATCGAATCGAAAAGTTGGAAAACTCAAAAACTGTAAAATAGAAAATTTATAGAATTGTCAAAATTGTAAAGTTGAAAAACTGTAATACTGGAAATCGAAAAATTAAAAAAAATTAAATATCGAGAAATTGAAGAATCGAATGAATTAAGAATGTAAATATATTATTATTATTATTATTATTGGGTATTTAAAATGAAAACTATCAACATTATAAATCAAAAACTGAAGAAACGAAAAATTGAAAAATCGAAAAACTAAAAACGGAAAAATTAAACCAAAATTATACATTGCACATCGAAAAATTGAAGAAATTGCAAAATCTAAAAACTCAAAACATCCAAAAGTTGGAACTGAAAAACTGAAACCTCAAGGAGTTTGCATGTCGTACAATTGAAGAACCAAAAAAATATACAAAAAATTGAAAAAATAAAAAATTGTAACATATGAACACTGAAAAATCGAAAACATGGAAAAATAGAGAAAATAAATGAACAAAAAATTGCAAACCGAATATGTACAGAAATGAAAACTGAAGAATTGCAAGAAACTGCAAAACTAAAAATCGAAAAATTGAAAAGTCGAATAAATGAAAAAATCCAATAATTAAAAATTGCAAAAATTCTAAAACGTGAAGTTGAAGAGGTTTTTTTTACTATTGTTATTATTACATACACATTTAAAACGACAAATAGCAAAATTGAAAAATCATGAAACTGAAAAATCTAAAATTGAAAAACAACGTATTAAAAAATTTCACAATGAAAAAAAATAAAAATTGTAAAATCAGAACATTGAGAAATACGAAAAATTGAAAAAAAAACACGAACATTTGGAAAGTTGATGAAACGAAAAATTGAAAAATCATGAAACTGAAAAATCTAACATTGAAAGACCGACAAATTAAAGAATCAAAAAGTTGAAAAATCGAAATATGTATTGAAATCGAAAAATTGAAAATCAAAATATTAAAAAATTTCACATTGAAAAAAAGAAAAATTGTAAAATCAGAACATTGAGAAATTGAAACATTTTAAAAATTAAAGAAATAAAACAAACGAAACGAAAATTTGCAAACCGAAAATTTGAAGAAATGAAAAATTGAAGAATCGAAAACTTGAAAAATCATGAAACTGAAAAATCCAACATTGAAACACCGAAAAATTGAAGAATCAAAAAGTTGAAAAATCGAACTATGTATTGAAATCGAAAAAATGAAAATCAAAATATTAAAAAATTTCACATTGAAAAAAAGAAAAATTGTAAAATCAGAACATTGAAAAATTGAAACATTTTAAAAATTAAGCAAATAAAACAAACGAAACGAAAAATTGCAAACCGAAAATTTGAAAAAATGAAAAATTGAAAAAACATGAAACTGAAAAATCCAACACTGAAAGACCGAAAAATTAAAGAATCAAAAAGTTGAAAAAACGAAATATGTATTGAAATCGAAAAATTGAAAATCAAAATATTAAAAAATTTCACATTGAAAAAAAGAAAAATTGTAAAATCAGAACATTGAGAAATTGAAACATTTTAAAAATTAAGGAAATAAAACAAACAAAACGAAAAATTGCAACCCGAAAATTTGAAGAAATGAAAAATTGAAGAATCGAAAAATTGAAAAATCATGAAACTGAAAAATCCAACATTGAAAGACCGAAAAATTAAAGAATCGAAAAGTTGAAAAACCGAAATATATATTGAAATCGAAAAATTGAAAATCAAAATATTAAAAAATGTCACATTGAAAAAAAGAAAAATTGTAAAATCAGAACATTGAGAAATTGAAACATTTTAAAAATTAAAGAAATAAAACAAACGAAACGAAAAATTGCAAACCGAAAATTTGAAGAAATGAAAAATTGAAGAATAGAAAAATTGAAAAACCATGAAACTGAAAAATCCAACATTGAAAGACCGAAAAATTAAAGAATCAAAAAGTTGAAAAATCGAAATATGTATTGAAATCGAAAAATTGAAAATCAAAATATTAAAAAATTTCACATTGAAAAAAAGAAAAATTGTAAAATCAGAACATTGAGAAATTGAAACATTTTAAAAATTAAGGAAATAAAACAAACGAAACAAAAAATTGCAAACCGAAAAATTGAAGAATCGAAAAACTGACAATTAAAAATCGAAAAATTGAAAAAAAAAAACAAAATTTGTAAAGTTGAAGAAACGAAAAAATGAAAAATCATGAAACTGAAAAATCTAACATTGAAAGACCGAAAAATTAAAGAATCAAAAAGTTTAAAAATCGAAATATGTATTGAAATCGAAAAATTGAAAATCAAAATATTAAAAAATTTCACATTGAAAAAAAGAAAAATTGTAAAATCAGAACATTGAGAAATTGAAACATTTTAAAAATTAAGGAAATAAAACAAACGAAACGAAAAATTGCAAACCGAAAATTTGAAGAAATGAAAAATTGAAGAATCGAAAAATTGAAAAATCATGAAACTGAAAAATCCAACATTGAAACATCGAAAAATTAAAGAATCAAAAAGTTGAAAAATCGAAATATGTATTGAAATCGAAAAATTGAAAATCAAAATATTAAAAAATTTCACATTGAAAAAAAGAAAAATTGTAAAATCAGAACATTGAGAAATTGAAACATTTTAAAAATTAAGGAAATAAAACAAACGAAACGAAAAATTGCAAACGGAAAATTTGAAGAAATGAAAAAAAAATTGAAGAATAGAAAAATTGAAAAAACATGAAACTGAAAAATCCAACATTGAAAGACCGAAAAATTAAAGAATCAAAAAGTTGAAAAATCGAAATATGTATTGAAATCGAAAAATTGAAAATCAAAGTATTAAAAAATTTCACATTGAAAAAAAGAAAAATTGTAAAATCAGAACATTGAGAAATTGAAACATTTTAAAAATTAAGGAAATAAAACAAACGAAACGAAAAATTGCAAACTGAAAATTTGAAGAAATGAAAAATTGAAGAATTCCAAATCGAAGTACTGAAGCGATGGTAGATTGAAACACTGAAAAACTAAATCGAGA